TAGCTTAACTTACTGCTATCATGTTCATAGATTAATAGTTTAGATGAGTTCCCAAATGATGAAATGCAAAAGGTGACATTTAGTGACTTAAAATTTATTCAATTAAAAAGACCATGCTTTATTCTGATATGGATACCTCTCCTACTTTAGGGATGTTAAAATGTCATCTTTTCCTCAAAATGATAATGATAGCAGATGATAATGTCATTTAAAAAAATCTTTAAATCTTTATGGATGTTCTGTCAGTCTGTAAATTTTATTAGCCTATGCAGCAGAGAAAGAAGTTCATTCTCCCCTCCCTTATTTAAATGTTTATTTTTTTTCTCTCCCTCTTTTTGGTTAAATAACACAATACTCAAAAAGTCTACAAGGAATTCTAATTTGTTAGTCCAGAGCAAACTGTTTTAGTAACATTTGAGCAGAGGGATGGGAATGTATACACTCAGCACTTTGAAATTCTAGTTAGTTGTCTTATAGTTTCATCTATGGAAAGTAGTTTCTGAATTCTCAAGCACTCCAAAGACTTAGACATTTGTTACTTGCAAACTTATTTTGAAACCCAGGTTCATTTTCTGGATTATTTTGACATAATTCCTTTTTTTTTTAGTGTTTTGATTTCTAGGTTTTAGAAATTAATAATTATCAAATTGCTTGATGATAATATACATAAGCCAATATATATATATTTGAATGTTTACTTAGTGCTGAAGTCATTCCATTTAGTCCTTACAACAGCCTTTACATATTTTAGGAGATTACAATGCAGAGAGGTTAAATAACTTGCCTAAGGACATAGAGCCAAGAGTGGGGTTTGTGAATAGTTGGAAATGCCTGTAGCTTACCGTATCAACAAGATGAGAAGTACCTTTATAAATTCAAAATCTGTCAAGAAATACCTGCTTGTTTCTTGAATGGGAAGAGCCTTACTAAACTTCTGGAAAGCTATGACTAAACATATATATGTCCAGATTTGAAAACTATTAGCAGTTAACATTATGCACTGTATAAAGCTTGCATTTAGGACCAATATTTATTTCCGTTTTTTTCCTTGAGTGCTCACAAGATCCCCCAGGTAAAAGAGTTCTTTCTTAAATTCATTTGTCTCTTAAAGGAATGATTTAAGGTGGGAAACCCACACATACAAAACAAAACAAAACAAAACAAAACAAAACAGTGGGGAGAAAACCTTTCAAGGATATGTGAGTTTAACTTTCTCTTAACGCTGTTGAATAGATTTTAATCTTTTTTTAAATTTTTCGTAAGGGGGAGGTAATTAGGTTTATTTATTTTATTGCTTCTTCGTGGAGGTACCGGGGATTGAACCTAGGACCTCCTACATGCTAAGCAGGCACTCTATCACTGAGCTATACCCTCCTGGTTAAACTGACTAAAAAGCTTTCAGAAAGGGTCCAGCTGCTGCTTTGGAAAGGCAGTTAAAGTAGTGGACATTTCACAGCGTATGCAAATGTCAAATCATTACACAGTACACCTGAAACTAACATAATATTGTACATCAAATGTATTTCAATGAAGAAAAAAAAAAAAACTAGTGGAGAGAACACCGGCTTGGGTGTTCAGATCCTAGCATTTTGTTAACTTCATTATTTCGGTTTTGTAGATGAGTCAGTTTAAGCTTAAAATTATTAGGAGTCCAAATTGGAGACCAGGCTTAGAGGAGAAAAACTTCCGCCTGATTTCTGATCTAATGTTCAAATCACTGATGATGTAAGGAAAATGAATAGAGCAGACGATTAAGGATGGGTGGAGTTCGGAGGGATATCAGAAAATCTTGTTTTATGGCAATGATAATTTTAAGGATTTATTTCTCTTTCCCTATCTCATTTTTGAGTAGTAAATGAAGTTTCACATCCCTAGTGAAGCAATTACCATGACGTTTATTTTTAAGCACAGTGCTATCTGAAAGTCCTAGAAGGAAACAAATGTACCTATTTACAATTATGTTTTGATGCATTTATCCAAAGAAAATACTTTCACAGACGTCATTGCTTTTAACAATACTATCTTTTAAAGTATTTACTTCACATATACTACCTAATTATTGTGTATGAATGAAAAAATAGCCTAGAAGTTATTGATTTCATTTAAACAATAAAATGTTTTCTCCTTCCGCTTTATAGCAGATTCTACTTTTGCTTCATTTCTGTACCCTCTGGCTCAGTATTTGAAAAAAAAAAAAACTCAAAGTGATATGTTTTGCAATATTGATGACCAGCTAAGCTCAGGATATTTATTTCCATCTGGTAGAGTTCAACTTCTGCCTCTTGTTTGCTTTCTCCATCTGCCCAGCTCACCATCTTTTTTCCCCCTCCTCCTTAATGGAGTTCGTTCGGTTTAACCCTCTCTTAGGCCTAATCATTTTAAGAGGCTCATGCCTTCGTACCAGTCTCTTTCTCCCGTAGTTTTGCAAGCTCGATTTTAACCTAAATGTCTGCGCCTCATAGTTTCAGAGCCTTCAAATTTTATTTTTATATTCTTGTTTTTATAAAGAACAGCAGAACTCTAAGGCTCGGACAGTTACTCCGATTAGGAAAAAAAAAAGGAAACAACCCTCGATTTTGTGTGTAAAGGGCGTATAATGCGTTATGTAGATTTTTTTTCTTTCTATAGAGTAAACTTGTTACAGTTAACGGTATTAATCTTCAATAACAGGTTTTCTTATCAGTGTTAAGCTGGATTCAGTAAGGTCTCCACTCTTCTTTCCTTTGATTCCTGATGTTACTGAAACAGCAACCACAAAAAGCTTACTAATCTTTTATTTATTTTGCAATTTAACTTTGACAAAGACCTCTCCCTACCCTACCCCTCCCTAAGGGTGGAGCAGTTCTCTGCGAGAACTGGACTGCCGAGGCTGCAGAATGCCGTGCGAGCGCCGGTTCCCTCCACTTTTCTCTGCACCCGCTGCATCCTCAGCACGGGTACCCGCATCCCGCTGCACCGTATGCTCCCTTAGCTTCAGGAGCTAGTCACGTAGACCCAAGAACACGCATGGGATGTAAACACTGAGTATGCGAGCCGGCAGGCGCTGAGGACTTGCAGCCCTATCCGTGCCGCCGGCGCGGGTGTGGATAGCCTGAGCAGGGCGGCTTTTATCTACACAGCATTAAACCTCCTCGCAGACGAGCCCGGGCAGCACACTCTTGCAGGGGATGCGCTGGCGCCGCGCCTAGAGTTGCTGGAGCTGGAAGGAGGGGCTAGGACTGGGGGCGGGGCTTTCACACGCGCACCCTCGGTTTCCTCAGTCCCCCGCGACTTCTCCCCCCTTCTCCCGCCGCCACTCGGGGGTTTATTTGTTTACAAGCGGATTACGTCAGCTCCTCCCTCTCTTCCCGGCTTCTGGGCCCGCCCCCTGGCCCCTTTTGCCCGCCCCCGGCGGCTCCGAATCTGCTTGCGTCACAATGGTGCGATCTCCGGATTGGCTGGAGTCGGCCGTCACGCTTCAGCTACGCCACTTCCTTTTCGCGGCGCTATAAAAAGTGCTGCACGGCGCTGGCGTCTCTTCGCCCGTCGGAGCTGGAAATGCAACTGTTGGGATCTTCGGAGGCTGCAGAGCTGGAGGCGGAGGCGGCTGAGGAGGTCCGAGCGATGTGACCAGATCGCCATCGCTCGACTCTTCCTCTCTCCTGCCGCCTCCTGTCTCGAAAATAACTTTTTCACTATAAAGGAGAAAAAAAAAGTAGCCGTCCGCCCCACAC